GTTTTTCTCCACACTTACTCTGGAAGATAAATTTAAAACTGGAGCTCCAATTATGCCATGTGCTGTGTGACCTTAAATACTTCAAGCAAGGTTTCTGAACTTGTTTCCTGTAAAATGGGGGAATTCACTACTTTATAGGATTGATATGAGCCTTAACCAAGATGTACATATATAACATGTATAAAAGAACAAGATAACATATATAAAAGCATTTTTTAATTGGTAAAGCAGTATGCAGGTCCTGCTTCACTAGCTTTTTTCTACTGCAAAACAGATACATTTTTGAATGTTGTTTTTTCATTTTTTTTTTTTAAAGTTTTAGTCTAAACGAATCTGCTGTAACAGCATAAAGGAATTTCCACTTAGAAGGCAGTATAAATTAAATTAATTACCAACAACTATATCAGTTACTAATTTATTAAAGTTTTTAAGAATAACTATTTTTCTATTTACTTCCAGTAGATGGCTGTATTTCTAAAAGGGATGTGTTTTCACCTGATCATATTTGTAATGTCATTTTTCAAAAGAGTATTTCTACAAAAGAATAAGATACATATTATTTTATTAATAGGTGTTGGTATATTTAATATAAAGCCTATCTTTAAAATATTAAGCAACTTTAATCAAAACATTTCTTTGTAATTCTTAAACATCAAATAAAGCACTATCCTATAAGAAAAAAGTATGTGTACTAATGCTTATAGTAATTCCGTGACACTGAGCATTCAAATAGCATATGCTGTGGAGACAACTATAAGTAATAAAGAATGGTTTATACACTATTCAGGCAGAGAATACACAGTGGAAGATGGGAAGAATACAAAGGAGTCTGGAGGTCTCAAAAAAGTCTTCCGTTTTAAAAGAATACTTTTGTTTGAAGCAAACAGACTCCACAATTCTCTTCCTGAGCAAACAAGGTTAAATCACTGGTTTGTGATGATTAACATGAATAATTCTATTTAAATACTCATTATAAATGGTTGATTTTCTTCAATAATTCTTAAGTGTCTAAATAGTAGAATTTATAAATAAGAAATTTCCTATTTCAGGTAAAGATCTAAAATGTGTACCAAAAGAGTTATTTCTAAAATGCAATTTCTACTGAGACTTAAAGATGAGAATAGTCACTTATTTATATCTTTTAGGAAATTCTCAATTTCTTCCTAGTAGAAAGTTACAACTAGATTGCTAGTTAAGTTTTAAAAATCTTTAAGTAATATTATGTGATATTACTCAATAGCATAAGAACATGGGCGATTCTGTGAGAAAATATTTTCTATGAGACATTTAGAATCAATCTGGCAGCCCAGCATTTATTTCTCTATTTCCAAAAGAACAGACCACCAAAGTAGTTTAAAAGAAACTGAGTAGGGAATTAAAAAAAAAAAAAAAAAAAGGAAAGAAAAGAAAAAAGCCTGATAACCAATCACACCTCTAAAATTGAAAGGCAACAATTGTAGAGAAATGAAGGAAGAATAAGTCCACAAGGAGGTCTTTCTAAGGAGAAAAGGGAAATAGCTAAGTACTAAGAGGTCACAGGGTACATTAAACACATAAAAAAAAAAAAAACTCACTCATTAAATTTAAAGATCTGGTCCTGCAAGAGCAGTTTTTGTTACTAAAAGGCATACCATTTGTACTTATTTTTTTTAATTCAAAAAGATTTACAATATTACTTTGTGTTCTGAAGGTTTTTTCCTGTTCTTTGATTCTATAATGAGGGTTACCAAATGACATCTAAACAAATGTAATAATTAAGATGTGTCATTTAAATGTAACCAAAGAGCTCAGGAATTTTATGCCTATTTAATTTCAGTTATTTAATTTCTTCAGCTTCTTTTGCAAGAAACATTCTACTGTCTGTTTTAACTTTTAAATAAAATAAATTTATCATACTTCTCACCAGCATTATTTTTAATTACACTGGTTCTTACTTAACTACACTATTTACTCAGCCTAATTATAATCAGCAGCTGCCATAGCGGCCTATCCCAACTCACCTTCTCAGGACATACCACACTCCCTGCCCACTAACCACAATAGCCAATACTATGAGAGCTGTGGAATTAAAAACAAAACAAAAACTGGAATTCTCAATGAATTGCTTTTATACAAATAAAACAAGGTATTAAAATAAAATAAATATTCACTACAGCCCAAAGTAGGAAAATCATAAATGAGATGAGAAAACATTTAATAATGAAAAGAGACTGACAGAAAACATGGATTTGATTCACGCTCCTTCTTTAACTACTTGTGAGTATTGGTTAAGTCACTTAAATTCTGAAGTCTCGGTTTCCTCACCTGTAATAACACAAGGATTTTGAACTTGATCTCTAAGGTCTCTTTTAACTATAAAATTCTATGATTTTATAAAAATAAAATGAGAAAAAAATTCTTTAAAAAAAGTGAAATGAAGAGGTGATGGAGAGAGGTGTGTATGGGTGTGTGTATTTAGCATCTGTTCCTTTCCATCTCTTTTCCTCCATGTTCATGACCTCTACAAATCACTACTCAGTATGAACAGACGGAAGCACTGCAAGCATGATGCACTTGCTAAAATCTTGTTCTTTCTTTCCAATAGCTTATGAAATCTTATGCAATCTATTCTTGAAGAACACAAACTGCTGATCAACAGAGATAAACTCCCTAAAACTGCTGCCTCAACTTGAAACCACATATATCTCTTCTCATCTGTATACCACAAAAGTACTTGCCCCAATTATGATGTAAACGTATTCAAGTCAGGATGTTCTAACTATTGTAGAATCTATGTCAACAAATTTGTCAGAAAAACAAAATAATGAGAAAAAATAAACAGGAAACATAAATTTGTAGAAGTAGATGTCATTAAAGTTGTGTTAAAATATTAAGTAAAATAATTTAGTGAAAAATGTCATGTTAGATGTATATTTCATAGACTTTCAGTATTAATGATTTTGATGCACTATCATAGGCCAGCCAAGGGATTGGCTTCAGTTTCCAAATTTGAATCAAACTGTAGAAAAACAATAGATAGTTGTACATAGCAGCTGGTTAAGTAATAAACTATAAAATCATAAATTTGAATGACTAATTTCAATGTACTGTGATCAAAGAAAAGATCACCTCTTGGTAATACAATGTTTTGATCAACACAAAAGCAAAATAAACACACAAAACATTCCCTATTAAACTGGTCATACATAATAAATTATAATGCATGTTTTAGCTCACGTAGATCCTAAAAACATAAACATTCCTCTCACATATATACCTCAGGCAAAGTTTCCCAAGCAAAATAATAAGCCTTCTTCAGATAATTAGTAGGAAAAAAGAAAAAGAACTCCCTCTCCCCCTAAAACTTTCCCAAGAAAGATAAGGTTTGTACAAGTTTATTTCTTTACAATCTGGCATTGTAAAGATCTTGACAGACCACATTTCTCTTGACTACCCTCTCACTCAGTTATTTCCACCTGTTAACTCATAAAAGTTATCAGCGAGGGTATCTGTGTTAGCTTCTAAGATGGCCCCCAAAGATCCTTGCACCCTGGGATTTATGCCTTTGTGTAATCCTCTCGACAATGATTTTGGGTTGGACTTAGTGACTCACTTCTAACAAATATAGTATGACAGTAGTGACAGGATACCACTTCTGAGCGCAAGTTATAAAAGACTATACAGTCTTGGGTGCTCTCACTCATCCTTGGGGAAGCCAGCTGCTAAACTGTGAAGCAGCCCTATGGGGAAACCCGTGTGGTGGAGAACGTAGGCCTGCCAACAACTTGGAAGTGGATCTTTCTACCCCTTATTAGAGTCTTCAGGTGAGATCTCAGCCCCCAGATGCACACAGCTTGACCATGAATCAGAGGTGCTCTGCTAAGCTGTACCCGAATTTCTGACCCACAGAAACTTCAAGATAATAAATGTTTGTTATTTTATGCTGCTAAATTTTGGGGCAATATAGTAGTACTCAGCAATGGATAACTAATACAGTATCTCATCAGACAAATTGTCAAGTTAACTCGGTAAAAATGAGAAGTTATCTACTCAGTCTTAAAAACAATAAAATTTATTCTTCATTCTGCTCAATTCTGTAAACCTTTTTCAAGAGTGAAGGGGGGGACCCTTCTACTTCAGAAATATGGTTACCAAACTCCAAACATTAAAAGAAGAAAAGCTGAAATGGTAAACATAAATTAGCTTCTCCACGCAGCAATAAAATTCATTATTTGTAAAGAAACCTAGGATTCTTGAAAATAAATATTTCACTTATCAAAACAATTGGAATCAAATTATGTATTTAGTAATTTAATAAACACTAAATACACAAAGAATCTAAAAATAAAACAAAAAAATTAAATGACTGAGGGTTAGGATTCATTTATATCATTTCTTCGAATTGATAATATTTAACTGAGTACCCACCATGTAAAAAACTGGAGCCCAGTCACAGAGAAACAAAGAAGAGAGGACAAATTAAGAATTTGCCAAATTTATAACCAGTCTGAAGACTGAAGCAACTGGTAATCCATTGTGACAACTGTAGTGTTTACATTCATATTACTGAAAAGTATGTAAAGAATCGAAAACTGTGCCTATGCACCAAAAAAAAAAAAAAGAAAAAGAAAAAGAAAAAAGAAAAGAAAAAGAAAAACCAAACACTCTACTTTAATAGAAGAGCAACAGTTGGGCTTTGAGTAATCACTGCCGTTTCTCGTACCCCCTTCCCCCGAATGAAGCTGGGTCGCTACGTGGGGTCCCAAGCTGACCCTTACCCCAATGGCCTAGAAACACTAGGAACACACCTACTCCCGCCTCTTGACACCGAGTCCCCATTTTAATAAGCCATCATCGCTGTCACTCAGGATGCTTTGCACTGTCATTGGCCCCAAAGTCTTGCTGGTCGGCAAGTTTCTGCCAACTGGCAAGCACTGGCTGTCTTTATTTCCGAGTAGAAAAGTAGGAGTGTACAGGGAAAAGAAGCAAGAGCTCTGAAATATCTAGGCAGACGCCTGTACCTGAACGACCTGCGATCCCCACCGCCGCCGCGACGAATCGGCCTCTGGACGGGGGCTTTTCGCCAAAAAGAAAATGGCTCAGCCTGGAACTGGCGCCCAGGCCATGGAGAAGTCGGTTCAAACTTTACTTGTTCACGCCAATGGAGGTGACGGCGGCGATAAGCCCAGAAACAGCACTGAATCCCCACGAACTCAGCGCACCTCAAGCTGCAGCAGCCAAAGCTGCCGACTGTCCGAGTTTTGACGTTTCCTATTGTTGCCGGAAGTGACGTTCGGGTGTCTGAGCCTTAAAGAAAAAGCACTTTTATCCCTGTTGTTGACGATTCGCTATAGATTCCCTGTTTCTTACTTCGCAGCCGTAGCCACTCTGAGCATCAAAACTAGGCAAACTTCTAATCTGCAGCTTGGAATCGGACTGGCCTTGGAGAAGGCTCTCAGTAGAGTCAGTCTCCTCGGGGGTCTGGACGAACGCAGTGTGGAATCTGCAGCGAGGAATCGTGGAGCTCCGGAGAGCCGGCGGCTTTGAAGGTCTCGCCGCGGTGCGTGGCGGGCTTCCACCCGCGGTTCCAAATACAAACGGTCGGCGCGAGAATCCGGCGCAGGGGTCAGGCCGCAGGGACTCGCTGCTGGAGGCCAGGCTCCCGTGGCTCTTTCTTGTTGCATATGTTACCTCCCCCTCTCCCCGTTGTACGGGGCCAGAGGCCTTCGGAGTCCGCTGCTTTGCTCGGCGGCTGCTGGGTGAGCTCGGGGAGCTGGCGAGGCTGCACCTTAGACTGGGCTGGGGTCTCCTCTCTCCGCTGCCCTTGCCGAGGTCCAGGGCGGGAGCGAATGACCAGGTCTGCCTTTTCATCCTTTTAAATTAAGTGGAGGGAGGGGAGCCCTAGATATGGCTTGCCCGTATACCCAACTTGTACATCCATTTGTAACAACGATGCAGGAAGAATGGTGGCAGCTCATCCTCTGAGATTAGATTGTGATTTAAGGTTGGGTAGTTCTAGACTGGCTGATTTCCTCCTGTTGCATCTTCTGATCTGTGAAGCGATTTGGCTCCTCGGAAATAGTGACTAAGAAGGAAGAGATGAAAGTGAATGTTTTCTTGCTCGCATTTCCCTGGTGCAGTTTTTCTCCACTTACCTAGACGACTATTGATTTTTCCCTCACTATGGAAAAAAAAAAAATCAATCGACATTTTGGCTCCGGAATTATGGCTATATAAGAATCTTTCCAAAATTATCCACAAATCTTGTAGCAGTTGTATATGTGAACACAGCAATCCTACTGAACTCTATACTTATCCCTTACAATCTTTGTTTTTTCTCAATTTTATCGATATTTTTCCTTTCCCAGACCTTTCTCCCTATCTCTTAGAGCAGTACTTCTCAAATATCTATAGCGAAAATTTCATAAACTTAATTTTTCCTTACCTCTACTCTCTTTATTTTTAATAAACACGATTTTTAGATAATATCTAGAGTTATGAGCCTTGTCACAAACTCTTAGTCATTGATCATAATCGTTACAGTGCGGTTGCTTCATTCTGAACAAAAATCACTGAGTTCAGTGGCATTCCTTTGGGAGGCATCATTTAATAACCTCTAACAGCAATGGAATTGAGCTAGATTAAAAATCTGAAACTGCTGTTGTATATCGTTTTCACGACATGTCGCATAATGAATTCAGTTGAGCAGATCTGACTTGTAGAGAGAGCTCTCTAGAGGTAGCAGTATTGAGACCATCTTTATGGTTAAATCTATTATTCTACAAGCTGAGTAATGTCTCCTTTTAATTTTCTTTGATAAGAGTTATAAAGTGAAAATGTTAGTTTTTTTTTAATGTAATAAGTTGTTTTTCATCTGTTAAAATGTGCATATGTCATAGATTGGCTTCTTTTAATATCTAAATTTTAGTGTTTTTCAATTTTATAATAGACTTAGTAAAGCCTTTCATGAAAATGTAGAACAGTAGCTTTAAGCTTTTTCTATAATACTCACATTTTTTAATCCCTTTATTTGTTCTATCCTGTTTTATCGCTTATCTCCTTCACCTACAGATCCAAGCTGTACTTGTATATTACTCTTCAAAATATTTATTCTGCTGGTTCTGAAGAGGATGTGTTCCAGGGATATACTTTGTTGTCAGAAATTCCATTACCAGAGGTAGAATAATATGAGACATTGATATATGTTCCAGGACTTCAGAGAAAGGAAAGATGGAAAGATATTGTAAATAAAACAAGATTACATGTCCTAGAAAGATGGAATATACAACTAGAAGGATTAAAGGAGGTCTGTGGGAAGAGATACAATTTATATGAAAATTATAGAATATCTAGGGGAAAAAGGTGCCTTTGAAGAATTGTTTTAAGATAGATGGGTCCGGAACTATAAACAAGCTTAGACCTACTATATTGACCAATGACAATACCTAAGAATATATATTTTTTACAGTTATGGCTAGATGAGTTTCTACTTTATCTTTCCCAGGAAAGTAAAGGCTGGTCATGGGAAGTCATTTCTCTTACTGTTTCCATGTGTCCATCTATCCCTTAGGCATTCTAAAGATGTTAAATAATGGATAGTATTTTGTAAAATGTAATTTTAGGATCACTTCTTTTTTTTCTAGTTATTTCCTATTTCCCAGTACCTAAATTCCTTCTGCCTAAAACTGTATGTTGAGTTGAAGTAATTGATAGGCTGAAAAATACTAAAACCCGTGCTGCATGAGTGCGTAAAAGTATATTTAGTACCCTGCTCTTTACTATGTTGATAAAGGAGAGGAGACTTGGAACAGGAAGATACCCTTTTCCCAAAGATGGGGGAAGGGTACAGAATTGGGTGTCTAGGGGCTTAAACTAGAAAGCTTACTAAGTTTAGGATTTTTCAAATTGCTAGCCTTATTACCTCTAGTTATGTACAGATACAGAGAAGGTGTGTAAGGAAATTATTTTTATCCTGGGAAATTGCTGGAAAGTTGACTATAGGGTAAAGATTTTACTATACTTCACCTGATTTATGAATTGTTCTGTTTTGTTTTTAATGTCAGTGATTTCATTTTAAAGGAGCTTCATTCCCAAAGGATTCATTACCCAAGGTATTGTCATATATTATTTTTCTTTTATAAAGTGTCCATAGACAGTTACGAATAGATATTTTTAAGTAGAACTTTGCTTTACTGGTTAACTAGACATAGTTTAGAAGCCTTTGTCTCTTTCTAGCACAGGTTCTTAATTCTTTGTTTATCTATTTATTTATTTTATGAACCTCCTCAGGAAATAACCTTTTTTGAGAACCTAATGAAAGCCTTATCCCATATAATAAAAAGAGTCATTTAGAAATATAATCCATGGTATTTTCTTTGGGATTTAAAAAAATGAACCATTTTATTTAAAATCTCAAGTATTTTTTATGTCTTTTGGTACACAAACACATATGTATATACACATATTTTGTTATGTATATTCTTTGGAATTGTATTTCTGTCTCAGGCCCTATGTATGTCAGCTTTAGTAGATATCACCAATAAATTTGCCAAAGTAATTGTACTAATTTACCCTTTCATAGCATTGTGAGTTTCAGATCTTTTATAGCCTCACATTTTCCATTTACTTTGTAATTTCTTAATAATTAGTGAGATTGAGTGTGTTTTCACATGTTCTCTCGTCTAAAGTTCCTGTTCAGGTCTCTTTCCCATTTTTCTATTTAGTTGTCTTTTTCTTATTACTTTGTGAGAATTTATTTACATACTTTAGATATGAATCTTTTTGTTGGTTCTATATATTGACAGCATCATTTTGCTTATCTTTTCATTCCCTTAAAGGTGTCTTTTGATTAACAGAAGTTACTAATTTTTATGTGTTTAATTTTATCAGTCATAAGAAATCTTTCTGTACCTGAAACTCAAAGATTATTCTCTTCCGAAGAGAATATTATTCTCCAGAAAACCTGGTTGTTTTACATTTTGCATTTAGATCTTTAACAAATCTGGAATTAATTTAGCGAAGGATATGAGGTACCTTTTTCATTAGGGGTTCAAGATTTATTTATTCCATCTGGATATCCAGTTGACACAGTACCATTTACGGAAAAAGATCATCCTTTCTCCAAGGCTACTCAGCATCAACTTTGTCATAAATCTAGTGTCAGTATTTGCATGGTCTGTTTCTGAACTCTATTCTGTTCTGTTTTTCTGTTTGTACATCTTTTCACTAATTCCAAATTTAATTTTATGAGTCTTGATATCCAGTGGTTAAGCCCTCCAGTTTTGATCTTTTTAGGTATTTTTTATCTTTTGTATTTCTATATAAATTTGAGTCTCAACTTGTTAATTTCCACCTAAAAAAAAGTGCAGGGATTTTTTTATGGGAGAGGTGTGGGGGGTGAGGAGGGAATGCATCGAATCTATGAATCAATACTGAGTCTTCCAATCCTGGGTCAAGGTATATATACCTCTTCCATTTAGGGCTCCTTTAACATATCTCAATAAAGTTTTATGATTTTTTTGTTTTGAGGTCTTATACATCTTTTCTAGATTTATTTACATGTTTATGATATTTATTGAGGCTATAGTGAATTACTTATACATATATAATTTTTTAAACATTTTCTAATTGGGGAATACAGAGGAAAACAATTGACTTTTGTATATTGGCCTCTATCCAGCAACCCTTCTAAATGCACTTATTTCTTTTGGATTTTTTCATATACAATTTTGTGAATAATGACATTTTTATTTATTCCTTTTTAGTCTTTATTCCTTATATTTCTTTTTCTTGCATTTTTTTGTACTGTCTGCCACCTCTAGTACAATGTTGGATAGAAATGATGACAGGATAAGCCTGCCTGCATGTACTGAAATGATTATAAGACTTTTTTCCTTTTTTAATATATTGAATTATACTGATTTTTATGTTTTGGATTATAATTTAATACTGTTTGATGAATTTTGTCGTTCAAATTGTTTTAACTTTGACTGTGTAGAGCATCATTTGGCCCCGGTGTCCTTTTGATATGTCCCCATCAGTGCAGGATTGGTTTGTTTGTTTTATGTATACTTTCTTACTTTCTGGAAGTACGTAATGTTTCACGTTCATCTTGTATATTTCGTGCCCAGTCATAAATTTGGTCATTTCTCCAAGGAGCCCTGGTTCCTTTTATTGGAGAATAGAATTACATACCAAGACCTGGATGCCAGTTGTGCTCTTTGCTACTGAAGTGCCATCGCTTTTAGTCATTTTCGGCTGGCAGAAAAAGGAAATACATAGTGTATACTAAGCCATCTACATACACATCTATAAATATTTCAATATGAAACTATCTGTACTAAGCTAACCAAGAATTCATACTGATGTCTCTAACTCTGATCTGTTAGGCATGACTCATTCTAGTCTCCTCCCCTTACTTATCTGTAAATTCCCACTCCAGCAGTGAGAAACCTGGATCCTATTATTTAGCCATCTGTTTACTTTACTCACACACATATGGCAAACCGTGTTTACGTGCAGTTATTTTGCCTTTAGTCTCACAGGATCCACTGATTTCTAAAGTTACTTAGCACCTTTTCCACTCGTCCCCTTCTATGAAGTTGTTTCATATATTACTAGTGCAGTTAGATTCTCTCATCACACTCTGCATTTCTTCCTGGGATTTCCCAGCTTCCTAAATGGCTTTTTAAAATTTTGCATACACTTTTTGTGCTGTACAGTTTTTAAGTTTGACAAGTGCATAATGTCATGTGCCTACCATTACAGTATCACACAGAATAATTTCACCTCTGCCTAACTGTCTTCCAAAATGGATATGCCATCTGCATTCCTACCAGCAATAAATGAGAGTTCCTGTTGCTCCAAATCCTCATAAGCATTTAGTATTGTCAGTTTTTTGGATTCTAGCCATTATAATAGGTGTGTAGTGGCATCATTGTTTTTTTTTTTTTTAATTTACCATTACCTAATGATACTTGATGTAGAGCATCTTTTCTTATATGTTTATTAACCACCTATATACTTTCTTTGGTGAGATGTATGTTGAGATATTTTGCCCATTTTTTAATTGGGTGGTTTGTTTTCTTACTCTTAAATTTAAGAGTTCTTTATATATTTTGGAAACAAGTCTTTTATTCATTCAGTAGAGAATTTAAATATTCTTTCCCTGTCTTTTCATTCTCTTAACAGTGTCTTTTGTGGAACAGAAGTTTTTAATTTTAATAAAGTACAACATCAGCTTTTTAATTCATGGATTATGCTCTGATATTATCTAAAAACTCATTGTTAAACCCAGGGAAGAAGAGAGAGAGATAGTTTCGCAGCTTAGTTATATCTGGGAGCGGGGAGTGAAAGTAGATGTCTAGGGTTTAGCAGCTCCTTATATGTACTTTCGCATAATCATCCTTATATTTCAATCCCCCTGGTCTTACCCCTCAGCCTTCCAGAACTCTAAGAGGCCCCTCATTTCTGAACCTATCTTGCTGCTGTTGGTTTCCTCCTGAATAGGCAGCTGAGATTGGCCTGTCTGTGCTTTGCCGGATTGGTTATCACTCATCCATTTGCTCTCCATCTTCCCAAATTTTGTTGATACCTCTTCTGTCATGTAAAATCCCCTCTAGTTCTGTTTGCCTTGGTGAGCATATGTGGTTTTGAATCATTTACTTTCATTTTAGTGATGCCTAAAAAAGGGAAATGAAGATAACATACATTTAATCTGCTATATTTTACCAGCTAAACCCTGAATAGATATTTTTTAATTCATCTATTTTTATTTATAAGCAAAGTATCTGACTGGCAACTGTGTGAGGTCAGAGCCCTGGGTATAATGGCTAGATCTGTATTACATTTGTCTTCATTTTTTACTGATTTTATTATATAGCCTTTATAAGCATCTAAAATAGTCATGGATGAGATTATTTTCAGGTTGATGGATCTTCCCAAATGTTACTAGATAGTACTAGACCAGTAGGGAAAATAAGAAGATAAGATAAATATTGTAAATGCCTGTAGGAAATAGGAACAAAATAGAATAGAGAAGCTTCAAATATTCACAGACTTAACCAGATTTTTATGGATTTTTACTTTTAGGTGAAAATTAGATTATTTCAAAAGCTGGAACTGAATGTAATGTTAAATAATGGCAACAGGTGACTTAAAGAGAAGCTTACGGAACCTAGAACAAGTTCTTCGCTCACTAAATTATCCTCAAGAGGTGGATTGTGTAGGGTATGCTGTAATATCATACTTATTTGTATTCTTTTTGGTAATGATTTGAGATAATAGTTGACATGGGGGAAGTATTTAGAGATAGATTTTATGTGGGTTCTTTTAAAATTTTTCTTGAAATGATTAAAATATTTTAGAAAGCAGGGTATTAGAATTACAGGAGTTTGTTTCTAAGTAAGAATTAATGAAAAAAGTCCAACTCAAGAGATTGTAAACACCTTTTAGAAGTAGAAGCACAATATACATCATTATAAAGTATGATCTCTGTACGACTTTTAAACTCGTAGAAATAAAATGAATTGGATTACTTATATAATATACCACCCTCTCACATTCAGTCGGGTGATATTTCTTTTTGATTTGAAAGATAATAAATAGTAATAGTTAAGAGATTTCTCATGACAACTGATATCATGCCTTTCCCAGCCCTGTTTTCCTCATCTGCAACTTAGAATTTGTAATTTTTTGTCTTTGCAGGTTTGTGGTAAAAGGCAAATGAGGTAACAACTGTTTGGGAAAGCATAAAGTGTGCTTGAGCACAGTAAGAGGATACAGTTGTTTTATTAGAAAATGGATTAGATTGAGTAAGGCTAAACTTTGGAAAATCAGCGCATACTATTATAAATAGACTTGGTAGAGCTTTTGTAAGTGTTTGAACAAATGAACAGTAGAATTTCATAGTAATTTTGCTAGACCGGTTTAGAGTAGAGGATGGAATCTAAAGGGTCTTGTGCATCACTTGATTATTATGGTTCTAGTGTTGTTACAAATTATTGACAACAATTCTTATATTTACCTGATTATCCAAGTTTAGGGAATTATGCTCATTAAAAATCTTTTTCTTTTTTTCCCAACAGTTTGATAAAGGGAGATACAGCAGCATCTTTGCCCATCATCAGCTATTCCCTGACTTCATATTCACCTTACGTAGCAGAACTTCTGGTGGAATCCAATATAGAGCTCATAGCAAAGAATGATTTGCGCTTTATAGATACTGTCTATAAGGTATCGTTGAGTTTATGAAACCAATAATTGTTTTAGAAGTCATTGATGGTTTTTTAAGATTGTTTTTATAACTCCTTAAATATATGCAGCATGTATAGATGACAGTATTTTCATATGCGTTTATCTCGTTAAATGCAGTTCCCATTACAATCAAGATGTAATTCAAGTTTGCTTTATGTTTTATACTCCATTAAATATGACAACTGGTAAACATTTGTCTTTGGTTATCATTTGCTCTTTTCATATCAAATTTTAGTAAAATTTGGTATGCTGGTGGAAGTTAGAGAGAAATATGGTTTTATTGAGTAAAGTTTGTGGTTCATAGAATTATAATTTAGTTGTTTGTAAGAAGGAACTACAGCCTTGACTGAGATTTTATGTTCCCTGTGGTCTGGGGCCTTGTCTTATATCTACCTGAGTATTTAACATGTATACTGAACTTAACTTCATATTTGATTTGATTTTTAAACTTAATTTCGCATTTGATTTCTTATTATTTTTTGTTCAAATCTTATAGTTTTCTTAAACTTTTTAAAAAATGATAAAACCCATTTATCAAATCAAATATTTTTGTTTTTTGAGGAGAAAGTTGCATTTGATGAAATGGGAGCTTTTATGTGCAGATTCTCTGTTTAATCTTCCTTTTCTCGGCCTGCAGAAGCCTAAGACATATTTCTAAGAACTCCTAGGGTTCCAGAGTAGGTTTTAAAAATTACTGGTCTAGTCTATTTCTCTCATTTTACAAATGAGAAATGAAACTCAGAGGCCTACTGACTTGTCTAAAAAATTGTGTAGTAGAAGAATTATGAACAGATAAAACTATGGTTTTCTGACATCTGTATGGTATTTTTTATTCTATGTGAGCTAAAGAGTATGTCTAGTACCTATGAGGATATTTGAACTTTTTGATCGTTGGCTATGTTTTGTCACCTCTCCGGACAGCCATCTATTCTCTGGTGCATCCCTAGCCACCTGTTTTCTACCTGGGTGTCTCTCCTACCGTCCCCATAAATCTCTTTAGTACTCTTTATTTTGTGGCTTGGTCCTCCTTCTCCTCTCAAAAATGGCATTACATCCCTGACCAGGTGGCCATTTATTATGTTGGATTTTCTAAAGAAATTGCTCCCAATTTTATGTTGGTCTATTCCCTCTTTACAGCTTCTTCGTGATCAATTTAATTATAAACCAATCTTGACAAAAAAGCAGTTTCTCCAATGTGGATTTGCAGAGTGGAAAATCCAAATTGTTTGTGATATTTTAAATTGTGTGATGAAAAAGCATAAGGAGTTGAGTAGTCTTGAGAAGGTAATTTTCTTAATAGATTTTAACTTACGCTAAGTGACCAGTATTTTAATGTATAAAATTAATACCCTAGACAGTAAATTAATACATGATACAATTACTGCATTATTCTCAGGTTTGGGTAACTTTATAATACCTGATGTTTGCTTTAAATACTAGTCACTTGTTTTCACACATTTATGACTTGGAGCTACGAGTCCTAAACTAACAGTTCAAATAGTACATTTTCATCACTTCTTAGTTTTCAAAAGACATATAGTTTCCTTAACTCTCATTATTTGGTAGTCATATTTCATATGAAGATTTAAATGATAACAGAATTTAAATATGCGTCATGCTTTTGCACAGAATTTTTTACATCTTAATACTTTTTCTTTTAGATTCCATCACAACAAAGAAAGAAAATCAGTTCTGTTAAGTCAGAAGCTTCTTCAAGCATTGAGAAGACATCCATAGAACCTGTTGGCATTGACATCACTGGCAGGTTTATGACTTCAGGAAAGGTAGGAAAATAACAAAGAAAGTGTGTCATAGTATTAAGAGTCACCTACCTAATTAATCCAATGTACAAGGTTCAATTTTCTAACTAGCAACTGGTGAAACAGTCTAGTCGGGTATTACACTATAAGGATTTTTAACAATGCATATCATATTATCTGGGGAACGTTCCTAAAATTATAAGAAGGTAGAAATGTAGAATTGAAAAAGCTTTCTCTTTATATTTCTAATTCCTGTTTCTGCCTTGTTTCCTAGATAGAAGAGCAATGATTTAGGAAGGTTATATTATGTGGTCAAGAACATTTACTCTTAATTATGTATCTGGTCTTCCTAAAACATGGGAAAATGTGAAGAGCGTACCATTAGTTATAGGTTATGATGATTCACTTACCTGTGTTCATATTTCTCTACCAGGAGTATGAAGTAACCAATGCTTGATATAGTTCCTAAACCTATAATCTGATTTTCGGTTAGTGTTTTGAATATTTTCTCTTCGTCAATAGATAACTTCTCTGCCCTCAACTGCTTCAGGTACCCGCGGCTAAATGAGTCCGGTGTGAATGCACAGTTGGGCCCAATGCCTTATTTTCAGGACTTGCCTTTTGCCATTATCCAGTTTGAATTGTTAGCTAAAGGTCTGATATTTTGTGGTTCATTTAATAGAAAAAAAAATTGTAATGAGTCCTTTTTACAGAGCAATTTCTTGATTATTTATATGTGACTTATATGGTAACCTGTTTAAATAACTTTGTATTATGGAACGTTTCAAATATTTATAAACGTACTCGTTCCGTTTCAGCAATTTGTCAACTTTTTGCTAATCTTGTTTCATCTTTATTATAACCACTTTTCCCAACATCTTTCCTCCCAAATCAGAAACAATTTGAAACAAATCCCAGACATCATTGAAGAGATATTTCAATATTTTTCTAATATATAAGAATGCTTTAAAAAATCTTAATCCAATCCTTTTGTAATTCTTAAGTGTGATGATTAGGTTCACGCTCTTGTTGAGATGTGCCTCCCTCAAACCTTGTTATGACATCAGCACATTACATGTCTGACAAGAAGAATGAGAAAAAATCAAGACCACAATTATATTATCACACATAAAATAATATTAATAGCTTAATGAATAATGTTTAGTATGTACATTATATGTGGTAATTTAAACTTTCGTAAATCTTAAAGGGAACATAGGATATTCTTTTGCAAAAATACTATGTGTGTGTTTCAAATAGTTATGTGAGGAAATAATTATGTGAAGCAACTCTGACATATTTTTCTCTATGCAGAAGAAAGCTGTAGTGATCCGTCACCTGTATAATGAAGATGGTGCTAACATTCCTGAAGATACGTTAAGTACAGTAACAGATGTTAATGAAGCATTTGATGCGTGTGACTTAAAGGATACTGAAATAAAGATTCATGAAGAAAAGGTCCCTGAAATCAAGTCTGAGCAACAAGTACGAATGTTATACTTCTTTGACAGATGCCCATATTTCTTACTTTAATGTATATATCTAAAGCATATTATAGCACATATTTAAAGCACATAAACTTTAGAATATCTCTAGATTCGGAATTATGAATCATGACACATTACCATTATTACCATTACTTAAGGATCAGTAAGTCTTGCTGAATATAGTTCAGCAGATATTATTTGCTGCTTACGTTTTGGATACTGGGGTAGATGCTAGGGGTAATGCTAGATGTTACGGGAATTTATGGTTTAGTGAGACAGTGAGATACTACTTTGTACAGAGAAGGTTCTCTATCACCTGTTCTCTGTATTGATGAATGGAAAAATTGGTACACTACTGCTTTTCCCTGTTCCTTTTTGGGCTCTTGCTGTTTTTTTCCCTCCTCTCCTAGAGTACCTTTTCTGTTACTTTATTGCCACCAATCCTGTTATACTGTCTAACCTTTACTGCTTCTACTAAAACTCCTTTTTCTTTCCTCTGTGTCTTGTGACTGCTGTATGTCTTAGTATACAGTTGGCATGTATAAAAACTACCAGATGGCCATTAGGCTTATTTCCTGTTTTAGCAAACTGAACAGTTTCAATGCACTGTCATTTCTTGGTCATTTCCTTTTAGCTTTGGGCTAGGTGTTGTTACAAGAAGCAAGTTAGTGACAGTTTTATTATACTACCCTACCTTGTGTTGTTCTAAGAGCCGTATGCAGATTAATTTATTTAATCTTCACAAGAACCATATGAAGTAGGTACTGTTGTTCTTTTTTAAATGAGGAAATTGAGGCATCAAGGTCACGCATCTGAGACGAGCTTATATATGTGTTCATCTAAGCGGTCTGCCTCTTGGTCATGCTGTACTGCCTCTTGTAACTTGAAATAACACAATGGAAATGGAATTACTTGACTTTGAAAGGAATTTCAGTTTGCATAATATTATTTTTTTATCTTTCTAATCATTTTAGGATGTAAAAGTTAATCCTGAGATTACCACACTACAGACTATGCTTGCCGAATGCCAAGAAAAGCTTAAGAAACTGACTCAGATAGAGAGTAGATTAGACTCTTTGGAAGAAAAAATGAAAGGAAAAGTGATGGTAAATGAAAAATCCTGGACTAATCTTCTAAGTCGTGTCACTCTTCTTGAAACAGAATTACTTTTGTCCAAAAAGGTATTTTCTTCCCTTAACATTTATAGGATACCTCAGATACAATGAAGTTTCAATTCATTGTTGTGTGTATATTTTTTTTGGAAATGCTAAGAAAGAGAATATTTAGGTAATGGGAAAATGTTTAGTGGGAATGAAGTCCTGTTTAGACGCAGCCTGTTTTGCTGCTCTTGTAGCTATTGTTTCTCTCCTCATCAAATAAGATAATCTGACTATTCAGTATTGAATAAATTGAGCTTTTAGAGCTGTTAATACTTCAGGTATTTAAAATGAGGTAAAATAACATTTGATTTTGTTTATGAAAAGCTTGAAATTATTTTATATCCTCTAATAGTAAAAATATTACTTTTTTTTTTACAGACTGAAGAAAAAGTTGGCAGGAGAGGAAAAATTAAAATTAGAATTACCTGTTCTCATTTACTTCAATTAAATTGTACATTTTATAGAGACAGTTAATGAGAAGTTCGTCTCTTTATTTACTCAGGATTTCAATTTTTGGTCCTACTGTATCTTTTCTTCCTAAAAAGTAAAGTTAGTAGATTCAGGAAGGTTACTATCTGATTCTACATTTAAAAGATAATTTCTTATATGCAGGGATATTAATTGCTTTCCATATAAAACACTTAAAAATATTCAAACATCATGTTGTCTTTATTTTTCATGCTTAGCAGTAAGAATATAAAATGAGAACATTTTTCTTTTCATTCTAAATACTAAACTATATTATTCTAGAATGATGAGTATATAGAGTTGAATGAAATGAATGAAGACTATGCTTCTAGTAGTGACATCGATATTCTAAAACCTGGTAAGTTCTTGTAGTATTAGTATTGGTAGTATCATTAGGAGTTTAGAAAAATGATTTTATGGGTATTTGGTAATCCCAAGCCTATATTTTAGAAACCACAAAGCTCTTGGGAACAAAGAAAATATTGAATTTACAGACTGCTGAAGCCACGGATTGCTAAAGAAGCCAGCTTACATATCTAACAGGACATAGTGGCTGAGTGAATTCTAGTGTACAAAATTGCAAACTTTTAGAGATGTTTTACCCTTGGAATTGCTAAGTGCTGTAGAATAATAAAAGTAGACCTCCAAAGTTTCTAATTTAAACTTTGAGTAGCTTTCACGTATGTAAGAGAAGAAAGTGTATTTGTCAGTTACCTGTAAACAGCCAATGGCCTGCGCAAAGAGCTAGTCATCAAAGTTGTTCCATGTGATCTTGATCCATGAGCTCAGACAATTAGATCAAGAGTAGACACCTAATCCAGAGAATAGCAATACGAAAGGTATCAAGTCGAATCATTTTGTCTTACTTAGGAACTCGGAATTAGGACACCAAGCATAAGTCAATCAAAGGATGTTGAGCTTGGGCTGGGCTGGCCATTTTGTCCAAGTTTGTGGTATGAGTAAGCAGAGGAATGGAGCAAATAGGCAAGAGAAGTAGACAAAAGAGGCTGGCTCTATGAGAGATGAAAGTAAAAGTTTCTAGTTGTTTCAGTCCTCATGTGGTAATACTTTGTTCCCTAATTGAGGTTGTCTGTGTAGGATTATAATAAAACTGTCTTTATGTAAACCAGTTGAAATGATTGTCTGATTTTTTTTTTTCTGGGCCTTATTTTTGCAGCCAGATGGTCCCCAAGCCTGTTGATTGATTTGACAGGAACATGTCTTATCTGTGATATTCTGTAATTAATTTAGTCGTAGGAAAGTTTACCATCATTTTGTTGAATAAATGATACTGGAAGTGGAAAGTTGTTAAATTCTTTAGGAAATCTAGGAACCTTGAATGTTAACCATTATTTTTTCTACACACATCAACTCAGGATAGAATATTTCTTGATTTTTAAAAAGTTTATATAGTTTTAGTATTAGTTGCCAGCATTTTAAGAAAAGTGTATACATGAGTCAGCTTATATTTAAAATAGTTTAAATATTTTAAAATAAATTAATAACTTGACTATTCAATTAATTGCTATCATGATAAAGATAGTTTTGCCTTTTATAATTATTATTGGCCAATTTTAACATAGATCTTTATATGTAGGTTATCTTAGAAGAATATTAAAAACTCACCTGCATCTATCTATACTAGTAATCATTTTGTATTAGAATATTGTTTGTTTTCTTTAATATATGCATAAAATTTTTAGATATATAACTCTACTGTGAAAAAAGATAACCTAAAAATTAATTTCTCCACAGACAGAAAAAGCAAAGAGAAAGAAGCAAGTATTCCTCTGTCCCCTGGTTATAGTACATTGTTAGCGGATTCAACCCCCAGAACCTCAACTATTCATTACTGTGGTTTGAAAGATATTTCAGAGGTAAGAAAAACTGACAACTGCCTAGGCGATATCCTTTCTAAGGTCAGGAGAACAAGCAAGCATTAGATTTAGTTGTAGAGGTCATTGGCAAGAATAGTGAAACTGTGCAAATCTTAATCTCTCATAAAAATTCTTTTGATAAGTAAACAGTACCTACTACAATGTTTTAGACCATGTTTTATATGTTCGAAGTCCATCTTTGATGATGGTTTAATATGAGAAAATGCCTAAATTTGTTGCTTTTTAAATTAAAGGAAACAACAATCCAGAAAATGGAAAGGATGAAAAAAATGTAAGTAACAGAAAGGGGCAACAGAAATTCATTTCCCTATAGGGAACTGTATTGGGTTACAGTATATATAGAATGTGCATATGTTATTTCAAACCTTAAAGGTCTCTCAGTCAGGTGTGGAATTTCCTTCAGGACTCAAGTGGATAATAAATCCACCTACAGTTATGTGTTTGTGAGATGAGTCACTGTTTTGGTTTCCAGCAAGCGATGTAAAACATTGTTAATGGAATTAATTACAGATTAAAGAGTGCAGAGATGTTTTTGGTTGATAGTTAACAAAGAGTGTTATCTCTTTTTGATAACTGATTTACATATATTATTAAATAATATATGTAGGTGGATGGTTTTGGAGACATTTTAAGCATGGAGAAAGTATTGCGAATCTTTTTCAGAAAGTTATTGGTCAGATTATACAAAAAATGATAGTTATATCTAGAGAGCAGTTGAAAGGAACTATGGAATTGCATTTAAATTATTTTGCAGCCTACTACTTTAAAAAACTATAATATTTTTTGAAATTTGAGAAGCACTGAAATAACATACGCTCCAAGAAATTAAAGACTCCTAATTGACTCTAGTTTTTATTCTTTCTCTCTGGCCATAGTATACTTAATTTATTAACAGTAACTATACCTATAAATAATAAAAATATTGATATTTTAGACTCAAAAGCATAATTTCAACAACTTAAATCCTATGCCTCATTATGATATTTATATACTTAATTTATTATTTATTTATTATTTTTCAGGTTTGAAGAAACTGCAGAGTTACTGAAAGGTCCAAATCACTAATTACAGAATTTTCTACATGAACTTCTCTAGGACTTTGGCTACTGTACATGTTGTATATTTTAGGAATCCTCTATAAATTTTAATATACTGCAATCTTTTATTAAAAATTTTAGTTCCATTTGGTATCTGAGCTCTTTCATTCAATATTGAATAAATACTTAAATATTTTTACACTACAATTATACTGCTTTACTCTGTTTTACTTTTCTTAGGAAAACTTATGTGCCAGTACATTTCTTTTACAGAGTGAAGTCATTCCAGCGCTGTATTTTTTGTGTTGACATTTGTTGGCAGTGTGCTAAGTAATATGTTTTCTAAAGTACAGGCTTCAGGACCATAGTTTACATCCTGTTGGAAATACTCCAACTGGGACTTGCGTATTGTACCCCGGAGGCCGTTGTACATACCATCATGCCGTCTGTACTGATGAATACGTTGTAATGAAAAGTTAAGAATGCTCATTGAAAATAAAATAAAACAAAAACACAATGATTTCATGCTTAGTCAAAAAGCAGCAACACATTTTCAGTTAACATTGAGAAAGTAAGTGTATGATTCTCCTTTGGTATTTAGAAGCAGGTCAGAAAGTTCACTGAGAAAAATGTGTTGAGTATTTTAGTGCTCTATTCTGTAACACATTTTAAGACCAGCAGCACAGACACAGATGGTGGCCGTCAACTATTACAAGATACACAGTGAGGTTTGGTGTTTTTTTTTTTTAGGTGATGGGAAGTAATATATTTTTCTGGAGACAGAAAAAGTCTTAGATAAAGTTAAATCAAGAGAAAAATGAAAGCATTTTAAATTACTAAGTAAGTTATCTTTTTAAACTTTATAATAAAAAAAAAATGTAGAATCATCCTGGGTAGTCATTAAGAAAGTTGATTCTGTTATTTGGGAGGAAAGAAAAGAAAGTATTTTTTTTATTATTTAGTTATTCTGATATAATTTATTAATCTGTTTATATTATATATGTATAATTTGAAATTTATCACATGAAACATTAACATTAAGTTAAAATTCTAAGCAGAAATAACAAAGCATTTTTAGTATTCTAATTATGCTTAGTCCTTAGACTTGAAAATTATGAAATTATGAAATACAATCTTGCATTTAGTAGAGTTTCAGTAAATATCTCTAGAACAAATTCAGTTAGCTTTGTATTTTCAATTACAGTAAATTTATAAAAATCAAGAGCTTAGAATTATAAAAGAAAAAACAACTATCAATTAACTTCTAAAAATATTAGTGCCAGCATGGAATTGTAGCACCACCTTGTGGTTCATATGCCACAAAAACTTGTCTCTTATTAAAACAAGTGATTTTCCATAAAACATAGGATCATATTTTCCCTTTTAAAAAATTCAATTTCAAATTCAACTCATTTTCTTTTAAAAAGAAACATTTTTGAAGTTTTCTTGTGCAAGACCAAAGAAAAAGTCTACTTTTCGTCTCTTCCCTCTCCTTTTATCTTTTTAAAAATTGTTATTTTTTCAATAATAGTTGCCATTCACTGTTATCTTTTTTCTTTATATAGTGTTCGTATACACCCAGTTAGATGATTTGAAACATCTAATTAGGAAATTTTTAATTTCCTAAGTTATTATATTAAATTATAAATATCATTTGAAAATATAGTAAAAGATGTCTTAGATTATCAAGTGGAAATTTGGGATCCAAGTTTTGTTATACTCTTATCTAACAACTTAAACCAGAACCAATACCAATGAAATCAGTTCATGGTAACAATACATTTACACTTACAAAGAATCTCACTACTACTTTGACAACAAAATCTTGGACAACATAAAGAAAGCAAATTTGACTTGGTTGAGGTTATTGAAGAGGTAGTCAGATTATTCTAAGTTTTTAAAGGAATTATAGAAAACATTAAGTTTTCTCTCTTAAGCATTTGATAAGTAGCTTATAACCATAAACCGGCCCTTTTGATTAACTTGAAGGATTTGAGAAAGTGGGAGGAGAGTCCTAGAGAGATGATTTGGAGCTACATAATTAAGCCCTTAGTTAACTAGAATTTTCACTAACTATCCCCTCTCATAAGCTGATGAAAGGTATTTATACCTACAACAAAGGCGGCAGCAGCTGTGCTCTGCTATCTGTCCTATTCTCTTGAGAAGGTCAGGATAGAGGTCATACAGGAACTCCATAAAGAATGCATAAGGTAAGAAACTGGTCAGAACAGATTAAAAAGAGGACAGCAACTATATGGAAATTCTAGGCAAATCTAAAAAAAGGACCTTTTTTTTTTTTTTTGGAATTTTTATAAGTTTATTTGAGCCAAACTAACGACATATGCCAGGGAGCAAGATCTCCAATGTTCCCACTAAGGACTAGTAAGTGGGAAAAAGTAGTTCCATATTTTCTTGCTTGTTTTACTCTAGCATGTAATGTTTTAACATGTAATATATCCCCTAAAAAATAAAGACTTAAAAACTTTGGAAACTGTTTTATGCCGTTCATTACTGACAACATTATATAACTGACGGGCACTTGGGGAAGTATTAAAAAGTAAAAGAACCTTGTCAATTTTACAAACTACAACACTTTTTGAGCTCAAATAACATTTTAGACTTAATTTTTATTTTTTAACAATCCCCAAGTTTGTCCTCTTTCAAGCTGAAGGATGTAGAGAGGGTGAAGAGGTGGGGGTAGTGTGAAACTTTAAAGTTAAACTATAAAATCAAAACTTTAATTATTGTGTTAACTTGGGCTTTAATGTTTCTCATGAAAATGGCAGGTTTCTTATATTACTCAAAGAGTAAAGAAAGCTGAGAAACCAGTCCTAATAGCAGTAATAGCACTGAGAACATGCAACTTTATTTTGGGAAGGCGGTGGAGTTTTTTTAAGTCCATGTTCATTTTATCATGAATTTTATTTATATCTAATACTTATAGGAATGGAGACTATATAGTGTATATGTCTTATTTTTCTCTCCGAAGTTCACTAAATTAATAGAAAATTTTAATTCGATTTAGAAAATTTTAATGCAAAATAGTCAACTCTACATTTTAAAATCGAGAAGACTTGTTTAGTAAGTATCCCAAATGTATAAATTATTTGAATTTTACATTATGAATGGGTGTTAAGAAGGAATCAGTATTAAATATCCAGGGATGTTCAACAGTAGGAATTAGGGCAATGACTATTTTGGAATAAATCCTAATTTGTAGAGCCAATCTTTCAGTTCACTTAAGTTGATATGAACTTATTAAATCATTGGGTATAGCTCTTCAATTCTTTTGGTGTTGAAATCCTGAAAGACACTTCTTGTTATACACCAGAATTACTCTATACTCGTTTCTTAAATGCCTTTTGATTGTCTCTATGGATCAGACCATAAATTCTCTTATCTACTCCCACTTCTTACTTCTCATTTTTTTTTTGTAATTTACCAGTCAAATTTACCGAGTAGATTCCTTCTTTCTCGGTCCTCAGTAAACTGTTTCTACTTTTATTATTTTGCTGTCTCTGAAACTTCTGATTCTCTGAGAATGTATCACTGTTAGAATATTTATGAAAAAAAATTTGTTTCAATTGCTATGGACTAGTTACTGGTAGTTATAAATATGAAACTATTTGAATTAGAATGGAGCCGGGGTCATTTTTAGACCCATTACTGATTGACTTTCCATTTTCCTCACACCGACCTTGATGATGATGCATTACTTTCTCTAAGTCTTAAATTGGGTGGGTTTTTTTGTTTGTTTTAATGACCTTTGCTATCAATGTCACTCGACTAAAGATAACGACTACTAATATCCCCTGACCCCAAGTCCTTTCCTTGATACTATTTCATCTATTTCCCTCCTTTCCCGTTGCACTGCATTACCTCCTCTCACTGCTTGCTCCATTCACTGATCTCCCTGCCTTATAGTCTTGCCTCCTTCAAAGTATCCACACTACTAAGAAAGCGTGTTTTTTGAAATGTTCCTTTGATTACACTACACTGCTGCTTACAGTGTATCTTTAGTTTCTCTTATTCATGCTGAGCAAAGTGCAGACTTCTTACCTTGGACAACAAAGGCCTTCTCTGAAGTCTCATCTACCTTCTCAGTATCATCATCTACAATATTCTATAAAGTCCGTATACATAGTACTCTCTTAAATCATGGCTTTGCTCACTATTTCTTGTGCTGAAAATGACTTTCCCTTCCATCTGGCAAATATTTGCTTATCCTTTAAGACACTGTACTTTCCTTAGAAAGGCTTTTCTCAACTACAGAAGCCAAATTATATGCTTTCGTCTCTGCTGCTTTAGTGCCTTGTTTATATTTTGTTGATTTTTACACCGATTTCATAGCTATTATTTGTTTATATGACTTTAATCACCATTAATTCCGTCTTTCGGTCTTTAATCTTTCTTCCAATGTTTATTTCCCCTAGTGCCTAGCATTTGTTTATTTATTCATTCATTACAAACTAAGTGGTACCTAATTACTTGTTGGCTGAAAGAATATCAAATTATAATCAAATTATAAATTATATCAGGGTTTCCAGATAAGATATTATCAAGCTGAAAGCTGCGGTCTGGCCAGTCACGCTATATGTTTTCTATGGAAGGAATGTATTGGCAAAAAAAAAAAAAAGATATAATCAACCATGCATTCTAGAAAAGAGTCATACTTTGGCAATATGTGAATGAATGTATTTAGAATGAAAGTTGATTGAAGTGTCTATAGGTGCCAGTCAGTGTACCAGGCATTGGCCATAGGCAAGGAACAAGATAAACATGGTTTCTGTTGTCACTGAACTAATAGCTGAGCAGGAAAGACAGTTAAACAAGCAATAACAATGTCTAGTAAATACTAAAGGAATAAGATACATCTTATTAATCAGGGATGAAGGGAAGACTTCTAAGAGGAAGTGGTGCTAATCTAAATCCTAAAAGATTAATAGACAGGGAAGAAGTTTTAAGCAAAAGGACTACCATGAACAAAGGCTTGAGAGGAAGGTCATTTGAAAGAACTTAACTCTGTATATGTGTGTATATATGTGTGTATATATGTGTGTAGGGCACAAAGGCTAGAGATCAGTTTATATAGTCCCCAGAAGCAATTTGTATCTTATTCACTGAAAAATTTAAGCAGCACAGTGTCATAACCAGATTGAATTATTTAGCATTATATTTTATTTTATTATTAGTTTAGACTAAACAGT